CAACGACCATTTCACTTTAAACAGTTTATTGACATCTGCGTCAGGTTTTACAAGCTAATTGCCAACCGACAAATGCATTTATACAATATTTAAAGAAAACGTACCATTTGGTCTTGTGTACGTGCAGTGATCTCAGAGTCATCACATTCGACTATCACACACACCCCATGTCTAGGCTTCTCTAAACTATGATACAGCTCTTATTCTTTATTTCCACTGTAAAAATTTGAAGAACTTATGTACAATTATCTTCTCGATACTGCAATTTAACGAACTAAAGTAGGGATACTAAACGTATTCGAAGCAAATAATGAAACCTCCAGTAGTCATTTCCAAAAATTTTCCTTTATCCGATCTTTCCGAACCATCAGCTAATCGTTCACCATGAGAAGAAAAAAGTGTTTTTAGAAGTGAACAATTCCATAACCAAAGGTAAAAATCATTTACAACTCTGAAAAAATAATAAATTCTTCAACAAGTAATTACAATTTTTTGAAGCATTGATCAGTGACACAAACTAACATAAAAACCTACAAAGAAAGACTGTTAGACAGGTAACGTAGTGAAAAGCTAAAGCAGGTTTTACAGTATGCTTACCGATTATACAGAACTTCGCAGAATTGATGACTAGGTAGCTGCAGATTTAAGTGACCGATAGAAATTGTGAATTTGAAGCGTGAACATTCAGTACACTGGCTGCTAAAACTGGAAAGTTTTTCACGGCTCCCTACCCTTTGGACCTGAAAAGTTTCAGTCAGCATTCTGCGCAATTACTTGGAGCAGTATAGCAGAGCTACTCCGAATTTTATATAACAGATAGAGACGTTTGTTTGAAATCTGAATATCTAAAACAGTAAGAACTCGGAACGTGCATAATTAGACATTTCACTCATTAGAATGTCCGGCTGAAGAAAGATTTCCTTCGCCGTTTGTAAACTGTCATTTTTTTCTTTGAGGACGGCGTCATTTTTTACATGTGGAACTTGTATACGCATTTCTTTTTTAAACGGGATAACAAAAAATCAGAGGAGTGCGCCGTCATTCTTCAAAATTGTTCTTTATGATAAACCCCCCTCAGAAAAATTAAGAAAATAATAAAAAAACCTTAGGTGATAGTGCTAATTATAATGATAATATCCCCAGTTCCTTTTTTTAATAAAAAGCAATTTTTTTCACGGTTTCAAATCCTGTCAAGCTGTTAAGTTCTAAACTGAGACAAAAATGATGAAGAAAAGTCGCTCAAAAAATTTTTTGAGACGCATTGTGTTTAATCTCTCAGTGAGGAAACTGTTTTAAAAAGTAAAACTGTGTGGAAAGATCATTTTTCAAATTAAATTTCAGTTTTTAAGTGTTTAGTATAAAATCAAGTGAAAGCTTATAAATGACCAGAAAAATGAAAAAACCACCTCGCTTGTCTCAGACTTTACTAGAGATATAACAAGAAATAAGAAAAAATTTTAGTTAAAATGAGAAGATTAAGCAGAGAAGCAAAGCAAGTGTAAAATACCTTTTGTCCTTCATATAGATTGACGTTCACAGAAAAAGGACTATTAGCTTTTGCTGCGTGACTCTTTAGGTCTTCTTTTTCCAGAGAAGACAACTCCTGACCAACAATTCGGGAGCAACCATCATACTGCTGCTCAGACAAGGAATAAGCATTCAAGTTAGCGGCATCACAGGTCATGTTGTGAACATTGTAATTAAACTGGATTCTGAAAGTTTTTCAAAATGATACTTAGATATCAAATGTTAATGATATCCAGTATCTTCCGACTGCAGGTAAAAACTATTGTATTCCAAGCCCAAAAAAGACACCTTACAGCGTTACTCTGTTCTTTATTTCTACTGTCAACAAGCAGAAACTGCACATCTTCACCACCCATAGATTGGCAAGCACTATTCACCTCAGTGAAAAAACCTAGAGAGAAAAAATAAAGATAAAATAAAAATGGAGAAAAAAGATGACCAATAAAGAAAAAAATCGTTTCAAACAGAAAATGAATAGAAAAAAGAAGCAGTCACCGAGCAATTCTGACGCTGAAATGGTCACCCTGCCCTGATTCCAAATTTTTGTGATATCATTAGTCGGTAATTCTAAAACGACATTACGAAATTTTAGGTACAACTTTTCGTCTCTCAGATCACTCAACCGATACGGTTCGCGTTCGGAGGGAAGTTGGACCACAACTGGGAACCTGTATCAGGACATACTACGAACAGTTATTAAAATAGTGAGCAAAAAATGCAACTAAAGGTAGGATTTTCATTTTACAAAACAAGTTTAGGAAGTTATATTCAGACTTAGATAATAGGCATAAGATAAATAAACCCACCTTATATTCACTGTCCAGAGCGGACATTTCAGTACAAAACGTATTTTTTTTTCCGGTGCACGGATACCAACTTTTCCCGAGCCAACAGTGCCTCTGTAACAGATATTTATAAAATGGAAACAGTGAACATGCACAAAAAGGACATTAAAGGCTTTCCTCAAACGTTTTACTGCCGGCACACATTAATTTATAACTTATGAAAACACAGAGTATTAAGAAGTAAAACAAATAAAGAGCAAGCAACAACGAATACCGTGAGTAAAGCTGATGAATGTTTCTGCTAGGAACAAGAGCATAATCCGTACAAAATGCTGTCATTACAAGAAGTGATGATATTCTATCTATTATAGATACATCCAAAACAGTACTGCAC